AAAAAGTTCATCCTTATAGATGACATAATTCTTTGCCTGTGGCAGGCACTCAAGGAATAAGTGTGAAAGCATTATAAACCAAAACCTAAAGAAGAAGAAAAATAAATCCAGGCATGGTAACTCAATCCTATAATGCCAGCCACTTAGAGGCTAAGAGTGGATCACCTGAGCTTAGGAGTTTAAGACTAGCCTGGGTAACACAGTGAGATTCTACCTATTAAAAAAAATATATAAGGGTAGCATCTGTGGCTCAAAAGGGTAGGGCACCGGCCCCATATGCTGGAGGTGGCAGGTTCAAACCCAGCCCCAGCCAAAAAAAAAAAAAAAACTGCAAAAAAAAAAAAAAATGTTGCTTGCTTTGCAAAAGAGGATAGTAGGTAAGGCACAGAGTCTCATTTTGTCACCCTTGGTAGAGTGTCATGGCATCATGGCTCACAGCATCCTCAAACTCTTAGACTCAAGCGATCCCCTTGCCCTAGCCTCCCAAGTAGCTGGATTACAGGCAGCCACCATAATGGGTAGCTATTTTTTAGAGGTGGGGCTCTCTTTCTCAGACTGGTCTCAAACTCCTGAGCTCAGGGCAATCCACCTCAGCATCCCAGAGTGCTGGGATTATAGCCATAAGCCACCACACTCAGCTTACATAAGTTCTTAAACAACCTTGCTTTGGTCACAGATTCACTGTCAATATGATATCATGGCAAAATAAAGACTAAAACTTGTTTAACGCAACTCACATACTGTCAATGGTTGAATACAACAATGGACTAAATATAATTTTTTTTTACACAAGACAGGATCTTGATCTGTAGCCCAGGCTGGAGTGCAGTGGCACAATCATAGCAGCCTCAGACTCCTGGACTCAAGTAATCCTCCCATTTCAGTCTTCTGAGTAGCTGGGACTACAGGCCACACCACCAAACCTGGCTAATATTTTTACTGGTTTAGAGCTGGAGTCTCACTGTATTGTCCAGACTGATCTCAAATTCCTGACCCCAAATGACCTCCTGCTTTGGTCTCCCAAAGTGCTGGGATTACAGGCATAAGCTACCAGATCCAGTATAATTTTTAAACTGCCGGTGTGTCCTTTATTTTTTCCCCTAAAAAGTTCATCC